AGCATGTCTCCAACGCCGCTGCTGTGAAGAGTTGTTGACAGGAGAACACATTCAGCTGGAGAGGGAAAAAAAGTGAACTTTACCCGACGTCACAGGAGGGGTCCCATGAAGGCGGGACTGAGTGTGGAAATGCACATAAAAAAGAAACAACAACAATCCAGCAGTAAAACAGATGCGCTAAGCACTAAACAAGACTATTTTGATTTGACAAGAGATTATATGTAGCCTACATTATTTTCCTAATAATTATTCTCTTTTACTATTCTTAAAGACAGAAATGTTACCTTACACTATCACCTATTGCATCTTACAACAAGCATTATGAACATGCATAGCTTAACAATACATAGACCACCATGGTGATATATTTATTTTAATTATCTCCAACACCTTTAGAAATATTATAGGTTCTACGCCCAACTGCTCCACCACGTGGTCAACTACCATATAACTAAGCTTGCCTTTCAGTAACAACTACAAGTCTAAACTCAATTAAAATGATTGTGGTTGAAAATTAAATGTTCACATAAATGCATCTTGTTCGGTACCAGTTATGTCGGTGAAAAGGCAAGGCAACATTACAGTTGCAAGAAAAAGTATGTGAAGTGAACCCTTTGGAATTAGCCTACCTGGATTTCTGCATAAGTTGGTCATAAAATGTGTTCTGATCTTCATCTAAGTCACAACAATAGACAAACACAGTCTGCTTAAACTAATACCACACAAACAATGATATGTTTTCATGTTTTTATTGAACACACCATGGCCCTTTATCATTTAATCAAATCCCCCTCCTCGACTCCTCGGTCCTCCAATAGTGACCCGGAAATGAATCTTAGCGCGCCATGTTGAAGGACATCTAATTTCTCTAAATGCACTTCGAGGACCGAGGATCGAGCGTCTAGGAGGCTCTCTGGAGAAGCTCTAACCGAGGATACACTGATGGGTCCTCCACAGTCCTCCACGGCTCATTCGTGGATGCATTTCCGGGAACAGAGATGTTTCAAAGAGTCGTGACGCACGGCCGGACTGATCTCAGCCAATGACAGCTCTGCATGCATCCCCTGGATATTATTTTATTAACTTCTTTCATCGCGACGCGATGTTTACAGTGAGAACAGCTGTGAGGTCCGTGCAGAAAGCAGAGCAGTGTGTATAATATATATCACTCAGTATAACAGGCCTACTCTTTTTCTTTGCTTTAGTTTAGTAGATATCTACAAACAAAGAGTCGATATTTTTCTAAAACCATTTAGTGCTTCACATAATAAAATACACAACGGCTGTAGCCTGTTTTAGGAGCTGTGTGTGTGGTGTAGGTGTGTGTGGTACAGTGTGTGCGTAGATGCAGCGGACAGACAGGTCTCAATTGGTTTTGTGTCCTCTGCTTACTTTTAATACTTGTCAATACAACTTTTGGCCCGTAATTTATTTTCCTCATTGTAGCGACCAGAGGGGAGAGGGGGGGATATATCCAGTCTCTGATAGTGTTACGTTATTATGAGAGTGCTCTGTTTGCAGTGGCGGTTCTAGACCAATTTGACTGGGGGGGCCACTGGGGGGCCAGTTATTTTCTGAGGGGGGCACAATAAATGCAGAACGAAAAAGAGAACTAGACAGTATGAAGTAATTGCGCATAAGAAAACAATGCAATACAGTTATTGGTATTTGTTTCAGTACACTTATTTATTTCAGATATATCTTATAGTTATTACTGTTAGCTTCAGCTTAAGTTATAGTGCAATGTTTGCACTAACACCATATTTATATAAAAATAAAGGCAATGAACAGTTACATCTCTACTTTACATAAGGGTGTCTGCACAATCTCACATTACAGCAAAAAAATCCTGCGGTTTTTCGCAAACCGAGTACCAGAAAATATACATTTAAAAAAAAAAAAAAAAACTTTTCATTATTAGTGGGGCCACAGGGGGGTCAGAGGTCAGTGTTAGGGGGGCACTGCCCCCCCCCCCCCCTAGAACCGCCCCTGTCTGTTTGATTCTGAAATTGTATATATTTATATAAATATATACATATATGTGTGTGTGTGTGTGTGTGTGTGTGTGTGTGTGTGTGTGTGTGTGTGTGGTGTGTGTGTGTGTGTGTGTGTGTGTGTGTGTGTGTGTGTGTGTCCGCATATGTAGCCTGTTATTGTCTCATTATATCGCACTGTGAATGAATCAAAGTAAATATATAAGTGGTCATGAACACATCTGTCCATCAAACAGAGGGCTGCTGTGCCTCCTGTCATCATTAATGGACGTCTCTTTAAAATGACCGCTCAGAGGAGAGGAGTTCTCATTTCTCTAACCGCCTGCTGCTTCCCCTCCTCTCTCCTCGGTTCCCCTCCTCGGCTCCTCCGCTCGCATCTCCTGTGGGCGGGACTAAGTATCGAGGATAGGAGTCGAGGAGGGGAGTCGAGGAGGGGAGTTAGAGAAATGAGAAAGGGCCTGTGTAAACATTCACAGTGCAGGGTGGAAAACGTATGTGAACCCCTAGGCTAAAGACTTCTTCAAGAGCTAATTGGAGTCAGGAGTCAGCCAACCTGGAGTCCAATCAATGAGACGAGATTGGAGGTGTTGGTTAAAGCTGCCCTGCCCTATAAAAAATACACACCAGTTTTGAATTGGCTATTCTTAAGAAGCATTGCCAGATGTGAACCATGCCTCGCACAAAAGTGCTCTCAGAAGACCTACGATTAAGAATTGTTGACTTGCATAAAGCTGGAAAGGGTTACAAAAATATCTCTAAAAGCCTTGATGTTCATCAGTCCACGGTAAGACAAATTGTCTATAAATGGAGAAAGTTCAGCACTGTTGCTACTCTCCCTAGGAATGGCCGTCCTGTAAAGATGACTGCAAGAGCACAGCGCAGAATGCTCAATGAGGTGAAGAAGAATCCTAGAGTGTCAGCTAGAGACTTAAAGAAATCTCTGGCACATGCTAACATCTCTGTTGACGAATCTACTATACGTAAAACACTGAACAAGAATGGAGTTCATGGGAGGACACCACGGAGGACACCACGGAGGAAGCCACTGCTATCCAGAAAAAACATTGCTGCATGTTTGAAGTTTGCAAAAGAGCACCTGGATGTTCCAAAATATTCTGTGGACAGATGAAACCAAAGTTGAGTTGTTTGGAAGGAACACACAACGCTATATGTGGAGAATCCAAAGGGTTCACATACTTTTTCTTGCAACTGTATATAGCCTTGACACAAAGCATTCTGTGTCAAGGACATTGAAGGGATTGATTGCAATCAATAGACATAATCAATGGCGAACAATCTTGATCAACTGTGGTGTTGTAAAGGGCAAGACCCTACATGCTCTCATTGATGACACTAAACCAGATTGCATTACTAGGAATGAGTCATGGCTAGATTAAACCATAAAGAACCATATTGCAAGGCATTATCTGCAATAAAGTCCAAAGCGTGCGCAAATTTGTGTTGTTTACAAGTTATTCATTGTGCAATACCATCATTTCCCACAGGCAAGTTTCCCTGATGGTAGTATGTTGTAAACTGGAACACATCCTCTGTAAAGTACTGCTGAATCACCTGGAAAAGCATTATATCCTGACCCCGTTCCAGCATGGATTTTGACAAAACCATTTATGTAAAACTCAACCCCTTGTCACAATGCATGACCTGGCAAAATATCATGACCAGAAAATAAAAGTCCATGTGACCATCTTTGATTACTCAAAAGGCCTTCAACACGGTCATAAGCACCTGTTGCAGAAGCTGGCCTATACATGGGTATAACTGGCTGAATGCTAAACTGGACCATCACTTTTTAACCACTTGCAAAGAAGCCAACAAGTGGTTGTAGAATGGGTGAAATCAAGAACCGTTCACATTGACGCTGGTGTCCCACAAGGCACTGTGCTGGATCCATTGCTCTTCCTATGCTATATCAATGACCTGCCGTCACGTGTGGCATCCACTGTCGGTTATTGGCGGATGACTGCTTGCTCTACAGGCCTATTGAAAATGTAGGGAGCCTAGAAGAGCTACAGGGTGACCTGACAATGATCCAGAAATGGACTAACACTTGGGAATGTGCTTTAAATTAATGCTTTAAATGAATGCTCTGTAAGTGCTACATAGTACGTACTCACAGATCAACAAACCAACACATCAAAAACGATATTATATGCCTAAAGATGTTTAAAGGGGTGCCCCCAAACACGTTCACTCATCTTTCTACACTGCAACCTACGACACTGTCCCTAGAAACTGAAAGTGACAACTTTAAAAAAGGTAAAAGGAAGACTTTAAGACACCTTTGTGTCATTTCCACAGTCTGAAATTTCAGACAGTTAATAGTTTACATCATCCAGCATCTTTTGCAAAGGTAGGCTAATGCTAAAGTGATGCATAAAATAAGTCAACACAATCTCTGCAAGATAAGTTTATAAAACTACCAAGCATGGTCACTGTACTGACAGTGACAACTCTTTCTTAGCTTGTTGTTAAACCTCCACTGGATGGCGACAAAGCAGCAGGAGTAGGAAGTACAAGTCGGCCTAATAAAAATATGGCAAAAAAACCATTATTTTTAAAAAGGTGCTTCTCATAGCACTTTGGCACGTTATACGTATTTTCCTATTCAAGCCTTAAAATATTTAGCGTAACATGCAAAGTCAATTCGTGTGTTCCTTCTGTGTTTCAACAAAAACAATTGTTTTGTTGTGAAACGCTACATTTGAATATTGTAAGCATAGACTGTATATATATATATAAAGCGACCTTGGGTCCCCTGAAAGGCGCTATAGAAATCGAAGCTATTATTATTATTATTATATAAAGATTGTAAGGCATTATCTGCAAATTACATCACCAATAAAGTCAAAAGCTAGCGCAAATGTGCGTTGTTTACAAGTTATTCATTGTGCAATACCATCATTTCCACATCACCTAAAGGCAGCAACAGTTCAGAGGAAGTGGGGTTTTTGGATGCTGATCTCCGGTCTGTTATTTAAACTCCTCCCCAAAGACTTTGGGCAACAGCGGCAGCGATCCAACCGATTCCATGTCAGCACTTACAGAAAACATAGCACAGGAAGGCAGGAAGTCAAACTTGTTGCCACTGCGATTACAACTTTCAAACATAAACGCCACAAGTACATTTGGAAATATAGGGATTCTTACTTTCTTTTTCATATTGCCAGCTGGTCTTTAGCGATGGACAAGCTTCGTCGTGTTTTAAGCGGTCAAGAGGACAACGAAGAGTTGGGTCTCACTGACCAGGTAACGTTAGCTTAACTTACTGTATGACACTGCTAATGCTAACGTCCTGTAACGTCAACTGGACGAAACTGATTTAAAAAAAGACCATTGTGCTACTTTTATTTCCTGTCTGAAACTCAGTTACCGTCCACTAACCTGTTATAATTATAAAAGTTGTGTTGTTACTTAGAAAAAGTAACGTTAAACTAGTCAATAAAGTTAGCTAAAATGTCACGTTCAGCTAGCTGTGTAGCTTTTTAGCTAACATTACAGTTACATTTGCATGTTTCTTTTCGGTGTATCTTTTTTTAAAGTCTAGGATCAAGCTAACATACCTAACGTATTCTTCTGTAGGCATGTAATAAATTGTACTGTTTGTTTACACTTTTTACACGCTTTCCCGATGAGGAGGAAATGGGGTAAGGTGCTAACTTGAATTATGTGTTTTAATAAATCGTGGTACAACTTTCTAAACTGTTTCACCCTGACACACCCCACTCTCCCATGCTTGCATTTATTTAAAGACTCTGCTTTACATTTCCTTAATTTACATCCTGGTACTGAGCACCTCTGGGGTCACATGGTAGAACCAAAACTTGATTTGTAAATCCACAGTATACGTCGATTTTCTTTCTAACATGTGACCCCCATGTCTCAATGATTTATTTTGACCTAGTTTTCCCAAATGCAATGTACTTAGTTATGTTCTGTGCTGTTCTCTGTGTGTGTGTTTTAAGATAATACTGTATCTTTGTATCTGCCTGGCTCCAGCCAACATGTGTATATCAGCAGTGGGAAGCCTGTGGCTCTTTCTGAGGGTCGTTGTGTCTGTCTTGTGACATCCTCCCATTGTTCTCACCAGGTCCTTGATGCCAGCACTCTGAGCTACAGCACCAGGGTGAAATGGTTCGTCATATGCTTTGCAGGGGGCATCCTGTGTTCGATACTCGTGAGTGCCTTACATAATGAAAAGGAGGCTTGGATGTTATTTCTGACTTTATACTGACTTCAGGAATGCAGAACGTACATAACCCTGTTAATGCTGGAAGAAAAATTCCAAGTTATCTTTTCTTGTACTATGTTTGCACAGCCCCCAAGTTATTAACATGGTTCACTGCAAAACCATCAGGACAATTCCTATCCTTTTGTATTTAATTCACACATAGAGGTGGCTTGTCGTCAGAAAAGAACATCAAGTTTTAGTTTGTAAAGTGTAGTTTGCAGTTCAAATTACAGGAAGTGTTGCAACACTTGAAGCCAACCACATAGTGGTAATTCACATGGAAAAAGTCCCATCAGAACCTGCGTATGCCTAGCTGCTAAAGTCTGATATCTCTATCAACAAACATTACATAATCTTATAGTCTCTTGATATCTCTTCCATTCAGACATTCAAAATGAATTTACCTTAAATCCAGAGGGTTGCCCCATACTGTGCTTTTCTGAAGAAATAAGCAATGTCTAAACTTTGCTCCTGTGAGAAGCAGGTATTAGCTGTATGTTTTTTGAATCTCCTTACAAAAGCATTAAAAGTGTTGCATCCCTTACTTACTCTAAATATCTCCCCTTACATGTTGAAATGCATAGTCTATTCACACTGAATGTGTCCCCAGTCTTTTTCTTTGAGTGATTAAATTAGTCAAAATTACATTACATTACATTGCATTTAGCTGACGCTTTTATCCAAAGCGACTTACAATAAGTACATTCGACCAGGAAGACACAACCTTGAAGAAAACAGAATCATATAAGTACATCAGGTTTCATAGAGCCAAACATTTCAAGTGCTACTCAACTGGCTATAGATAAGCCAGTCCTTTATTAGTATATAAGTGCTCTTTTAGCAGTTCTTTGTTAGTAATTCTATCGCTCGAGGTGGAGTCGAAAGAGATGAGTTTTCAGTTTGCGCCGGAAGATGTGCAGGCTTTCTGCTGTCCTGATGTCAATGGGGAGCTCATTCCACCATTTTGGAGCCAGGATAGCAAACCCACGTGTTTTTGCTGATGGGAACTTGAGTCCCCCTCGCAGCGAGTCGTTTGGCTGATGCAGAGCGTAGTGCTCGCGCTGGGGTGTACAGTTTAACCATTTCCTGGATGTAGGAAGGGCCAGATCCATTCGCAGTATGGTACGCAAGTACCAGTGTCTTGAAGTGGATTCTAGCAGTTACCGGAAGCCAGTGAAGGGAGCGGAGTGGTGTGGGAAAATTTAGGAAGGTTGAAGACCAGACGAGCCGCTGCATTCTGGATGAGCTGCAGAGGTCGGATGGCACATGCAGGTAGACCAGCCAGGAGGGAGTTGCAGTAGTCTAGGCGTGAGATGACGAGAGCCTGGACCAGAACCTGCGTCGCTTTCTGAGTCAGCTGGGGACGTATCTTCCTGATGTTGTAAAGCGTGTATCTGCAGCAACGGGTTGTAGCAGCGATGTTTGCAGTGAAGGACAGGTTGTTATCTAGGATCACACCCAGATTCCTTGCAGTCTGAGTCGGGGAAACAACAGAGGTGCCGATGTTGATTGTCAGGTCAAGAGTGGGACAATCATTTCCCGGAAGGAAAAGCAGTTCAGTCTTGTCAAGGTTGAGCTTGAGGTGATGAGCAGACATCCACTGAGATATGTCAGCTAGACAAGCAGAGATGCGTGCGACGACCTGGGTCTCTGAGCAGGGAAAGGACAGAATTAATTGGGTGTCGTCAGCGTAGCAGTGGTATGAAAAACCATGCGGGCTAATGACTGATCCGAGCGAGTTTGTGTACAAGGAGAAGAGGAGGGGACCAAGAACAGAGCCCTGAGGGACCCCTGTAGTTAACGGACTCAGACCCTCTCCAAGTTACCCTGTAGGTACGGTCTTTGAGGTATGAGGTGAGGAGGGAAAGTGCTGAGCCTGACACTCCAAGTTCTTGGAGAGTGTGAAGGAGGATCTGATGGTTCACCGTGTCGAATGCAGCAGACAGGTCCAACAGGATGATGACAGAGGAGAGGGATGCTGCTTTGGCAGTGTGCAGTTCCTCAGTGACAGCAATGAGAGCCATTTCTGTGGAGTGACCTGGCTTGAAACCAGACTGGTGCGGATCCAGAAGGTTGTTCTGATGGAGATAACAGGAGAGTTGTTTAAAGACAGCGCGTTCAAGTGTTTTAGACGGGAACGGGAGTAGAGAGACAGGCCTGTAGTTTATAACATCAGACGGGTTGAGAGTGGGTTTCTTTAGGAGAGGGTTTACTCTTGCCTCCTTGAGACTGTTTGGAAAGTGACCAGAAGTTAGAGAAGTGTTGATGAAATGGGAGAGAAACGGTAGAATATCAGGAGCGATAGTCTGAAGGAGGTTTGAAGGGATAGGGTCCAGAGGACAGGTGGTAGGGCGGGCAGAGGTAATGAGGGTAAGAACCTCACTTGGAGAGAGAGGGGAAAAGGAGGTTAGTGTGTTGGTGGAAGGAGGGTCTGGTGACCCAGCGGTGAGTAAAGGTGAGTCAGAAAAAGTAGAGCGAATATCATCAACCTTTTTTTCAAAGTGTTTAACAAAGTCGCTTGACAGAAATGAGAAGGGGGAGGGGCTTTGGGAGGGTCCAAGAGGGTGGAGAAGATGGAAAATAGTTTTTTGGGATTGGAATAGGAAGATTGGATCTTATCTTGAAAGAAAGTGCTTTTTGCCTGAGAGATCGAAGCAGAGAAAGAGGAGAGCCTGATAGGTTAGGAGGTCGTCACGGTGTTTGGATTTCCACCGTTTCCGCTCTGCTGCCCTACGGACGGTTCTATTAGCACGCAGTGCGTCATTTAGCCAGGGAGCAGGAGGGGACTGACGAGCCTGCCGAGATGTGAGAGGACAGAGAGAGTCCAGAGAGTATGAGAGAGTAGAGAGGAGAGTTTCTGCAGCGGAGTTTGGAGGCAGGAGATGGAACGAGTCAGAGGAAGGGAGGGCTGAGAGCACCGATGAGGCAAAGGTAGAGGGGGAGAGGGAACGAAGGTTACGGCGGACCGGTGCAGGATGAGAAGAGATTAGTTTGTTATGTTTGGAAAGGGGTAGAGAGAATGAAATGAAGAAGTGATCGGATGTGTGGAGCGGGTTTACAGAGAGGTTAGAAGTAGTGCAGTTCCTTGAGAATATGAGATCAAGGACATTGCCAGCTTTATGAGTCGGTGGGGACGGAGACAGTGAGAAAGCAAAGGCGGTTAACAGAGATGTTAGTTTGTCTATCTTCCCTGTCTGGAGGTTGAAGTCTCCGAGAAGTACAGCGGGAGGGCCAGTTTCAGGGATGTGTGAGAGGAGATTATCTAATGCATGTGGATTAAAATATTTCTCAGGTAGCGATTCTTAAACAAAACCTGATGGTATTCTGGCAGTAGGGGGAGCCCATCATGTTTCAGAGAAACCATTAGCAGCCAACTGTCCTTGTAGTTGATTTGTGTTCTAATACAAAATAAAATACAAAGTTTTATGCCTTTTAATCCTATTTATGTGTGTTATTTATTTAGCTACTTGGCATTAAGCCGTATATTAAAGTATGGTGGTGACATTGTTCTGTGTAGCTGACAGAGGCTATTTTCTTCTTTTTTTTTAGGGTTCAGCACTGCTTTTCCTTCCAAATGGAATGAAGCTTTTCGCCGTCTTCTACACGTTAGGGAACATCGCTGCTCTTTCCAGGTAAGAGGCTTCAGTCTAGCTCAAAATAGAAGTTCATAGAAATGTAATGTCTCAATATATTTCTCATGCCAGGATAACACACTGCCAGGAATAGAACAAACAAGGAGCAACGGGTTTATACACTCTACAAAAAATGTTTCCTTGATGACTGACGTTGTGACTGACACCACTGGCACAGATACATACATATTTCTCCAAGTTTTGCTTCTAAGCTGTTTATGAAGACAACAACACTGACACAACGCATGTAATTTACTTTCTTACTCTCTGTGCACTCAACAAATGTTTGGAGCACAATGCCTGGTGTTATCATTATTTTTTATATCATAAATAATGTGTATATTTACACCATAACAGTGGTTAGTTCTGGTTCTACCCCAGACTAAAGGATTATACCTACATTTATAATCTCCTACATTTAATCAGTTTAGCATTAGTAAAATTATGCATTGATTCTTTTTTGTATAACTACCATATAAATGAACAGCCTTGGCAATCACATTGCCGTTAATAAACTTAAACAGACATGCTTCTTAAAAAGGTGTTTTAAAAATGCTCTATCATGCAGAGACAGGTAAACACTACATGCAAAGGGATAATACCTTTTTAAGTTTAAGTGCCATCTGGGTCATTGTACAATTTAATTGGCATACCTGAAGTTCAATTGTGTGTTGCATTAATGTCACATACAGTACAAATACATACATTGAATTCATTAAAAAAAAAAAAACTGACCTAAAATGTAAAACCCAGAAGATTCCTTCCTTGGAAGTTTTTCCTTGTATGATGTGAGGGTCTAAGGACAGAGGGTGTCGTATTGTCATACTGATATTTTGTACAATCTGTGAAGTCCACTGAGACAAATGTAACATTTGTGATATTGGGCTATATAAATAAACATTGATTGATTGAATACACATTAGAAGCAGGTCTGAAAAGGTTTTGATACGAGGTTTGAATGAAGACAGACTGGTGCAGTCAGAAATGTGTGAAAAGGCCCCGTTCCCCCGTAGGTCCAGTGCTTGGTCTTCTGTGGTTGACACAGGGGGTTTGGATCAGAGGAGTGGAGGGAAGGAGTGTGGTGGTGGAGCAGGTCGGTGAGGTAGGAGGGGGGCCTGGCAATTGAGGGCTTTGTGAGTGAGGAGGAGGATTTTAAAATGGATGCGTTGGTGGACAGTTGTGGAGGTTCTGAAGGCAGGGCAGGGCCGGGTGAGCAGATGGGCAGCAGAGCTCTGGAAGTACTGGAGTTTATTGAAAAGTTGAGGATGCTGTTGCAGAAGCCGATTCGTGATGAGATGAAGGCATGTCAAAGGATTTTGGCAGTAGAGAAAGAGAGGAATGGGTGGAGAAATGCTATGTTTTTGAGGTAGAAAAAGGCGGTTTTGTGATCTGATTGATATGGTTTTCAAATGAGAGGTTGCACATGTGTGGGGAGGAGATGGAGAGTAGTTGAGTTTTAGAAAAAGGATCATGGATAATGTTATATTCTTATAGTTGGAACAGACTCTTAGTCTCATAGTTGTTTCTAAAAGTAGACCAGCCATTGGTGTTTCCTTACATTATAACTTTTATAGGAGCATGCAGATTAATTCCTTCCCAGGGACAGCATGCAATACTTTTAAATCTCTCATTATAGTGGCCTTGCATGGGCAAATGTTCTTCAATAATTAGATTTACACATATACACATAACTGAGAACCATAACAGTTAAACTTTTTCTCTCTGCAGTGTGATTTTGATTCAGTCGGTACGCTTGTGTTGTTGCTGCATGCTTTAATAATGCTGCTACACTAACATATAACTGTTGTATCTTTATTGTTTGCATTTCGGGCTGTCTTATTTTCATGGTTTAGTGAGATTAGAATTTCATCTTCTATTACTAGAAATCAGGAACCTACTGGATTTTCACAACATTATGGATTATTTAGTCGAGATAATCCCAGGGCTGAATCCAATCATGTCTTTGACTTCTTTGACAGTGAACCACTGATGAGACAGGGCAGTCTCTATTTTCAGGTATCATATGTCCAGAAGGTTTAGATGTGTCAAGAAACTGGGTCACCTTCTGCTTTCATAGCCCAGGTTACTGATCCACAGCAAGACAACATATGTCATATTTTAAGAAGCTTAATGCATTTTTCATCTGCATGTGACTTTGAGACCATGGGCTACCTCATTTAATTGAGTAGTGGAAGGTTATGTCAGAAATAAGAGTCATTTTAGTGATGGATCACATGCAACTGTTTAATAGTAAAACAATAAACGTGTCTTACATGTATTTAATTGTCACTTCTAACCCGAACCCCTTTTTCAAACAAAATATATTTGCTTCACTTTAGAACAGTCACAATTTGATTTATTTAATGTTGTGAATATTACACAGCACCCTGGTAAAGGTTATTTTGAAGTTTTCTATTTTGTTCCTTTTTGGAAACTAGCATTAAGTCAAAGTTTAGCCGTCAATCTTTTCTGTTCAATCAATGATACATTTATTCTCAACATTAAGCAATACAGCATTATCTAATATTACTAATGGCATTAACATTTCTGTCATGGTGCTTCCCAACCACCAGCAGTAGCAGCATGTGTGTAGATATCAGTAGTCTCTGTTGATAGAAATGACCCATCCCTCTCAGCAGACCGGTAGAAAGAGCCTGCGTCAACACAACTGTGTCTCATCTAACAGATGTGACGCTACGCAGACTCTACCCACTCATCTCTGTGGAGCCCAGCGCTGCACGCCTCGTCAGCAGAGAGACAGCCTTTGTGCTATTTCTTTTACCAACGTCACACATGCCACACACTCATGTAGGAGGTTTTAAAGTAGTCAAATTGATTATAGTGGCGACTTGTGGCACAATCTGGTTGTCACTGGTAAGAGATTTGTTTGGGCGTATCATGTATATAGAAGCATATAGCTGACCATCCAGATGGACAGCTCCTGTTTTTCAAAAGTGTTAGGGCCGCTAGCCCTAAAAGAACAAAAAAAAGCTATTTTGAATAAAACACCTTGGTAACTAGCTCCACCATTTTGAACAAAGAAAGAAATGACAACACATTCGCAGCTGAACTGTTAAATAGGTGATCTTTGGAAAGAGCTATTCGAATGCCTAGCACCTGTTATGAATACAAAACCTGATCGCATTGGGGCTGATAAAACCGACACTGATTTCAAAAAATAATAATATATGTTTTCAGGTTGTCCATCTCCTATACTTGGCAACATGATATCTAGGAAACAAATGGAGGGATATTGTTTAAATGTGGCACAAACATGGGTCAAAAACTGATCAGATTTTGGTGGTCAAAGTTCAAGTTAAATAAGTCCTCACAACAGAAGAATTCATACAATAATCATGACAATTATACACACGTCATAACAGGATAAAACTCGACTGGTTGGCATAAAATGAGGAGGCAGCAGTTATACGTTTCTTCTCTAAGGATATGACAAAGAAATAGCGGAACCTTAAACATATAAGAGACAAACTACCTCTTTTTGGACAACATCATACTTTCTGAAGTCAATTCCTTTTCTTACCACTGACGTGGCAGTTCTTTTTGCAACGAAATGATCCTTTTAGATGCTTTTTATTTATCAATATGAATGTGATTGGTATTTCACTACATAGCATGCATGTCATTCACTAGCAACAAACTCTTCTTGTACAGTAGTCATGGTATGTTCTGTTTGTATCACGCTGCAAAATGTTGTGACGTGTTTGAGTTAATTTGTCAATATTTCAAGTCCTGCCTTGTGAGTATCACATACATTGCATTGTCGATGCTGCTGATGTGAATCCTTTACACCATAGATTACTATTTTTAAACGGGTACAATGTGTCGTTTGATGTCTTAAAAGTATAACTCTTCTGTTTCTCTATAGCACCTGCTTCCTAATGGGACCACTAAATCAGCTGAAGCGCATGTTCGATCCAAAAAGACTGATAGCCACCATTGTCATGCTGGTAAATACCACGTGTTTTACTGTTACCTTGAGACAGATGCTTCACTGGATCCGTCATGAGGCCACAAGGCGTTTTCACCGGTGTCTGCTTTCACCTACTGTTGAGGATGTTACAGGTCTGACTTTGGATTACAAGGCCAGGTTCAATTAAAGATCTCCCACCTTGTGATCTTAAAGGATTGTGAGGATAAAGTAACTAATCTTGACAAACACAATCCAGTTTAGAATGATTGATATTTTCTATTGGCAGATGTAATTACTTTTAGTTTTTAGAATTTAAGATTACTGTGAAATACTGAAAGTAAGATAGCATGCATGAAGATAACTATTCCTTTGTTCTTCCGTCAGCTCTGCCTCGTCTTAACTCTTTGTGCAGTGTTTTGGGTAAGTACATAATTCATGGTTTTCAAAGCCAGCTACATGTATTGTTAAAGTGCAGTGTTTTTAACTCTACTTACCATGTTTTATTTTACAGTGGCATAAAAGGGGGCTGGCTATCATCTTCTGTATCATGCAGTTTTTGGCAATGACATGGTAAGTTTGACCAGTCATCTCTGACTTTAACACAGTTGTAAATAATTGACTCATCACTCACACCTACTCACATGAAGCAGAGTTACAGTTCTCTACCACAGTACATGATAAGGAGCGTTACTCTAGCTGCTTTGCCTTGTAATAAACATCCGGGAGTTGAGTTAGTCACGCTACTAAATCAATAAAGGTTAAACTTGTGCCGTCTTTGTTACGTTGTACATTCAACCACTCTATACTTGGCATTTTAGATGTTTCAGAACAATAAATATTATTTCTAGTTGAAGATGCACACAGAATGTACAACTTGAACTACATTGGTTTCCCTGAGCTTGACTTACATCTGATTGACATACCCGTTGAGTGAGTCCTGTTGTAAGAAGACTGGTTGGTAGGTTGCCAGGCATCATCAGTAGGTCAGTATATGTTTGACCTGTAGAGAATGAGCTAGTGATTGGATCAGTATTGTGTACTTAGAGAGAGAGAGAGAGGTGTTGCTGCCTGTGTTCACACATAAGACAAGGTCACTGGCAGTTAACTCTGTGGTCATTACTACTTCTCTAATCACTGGTGAATGGTCCAATGAGACCCCTTAATCTATTTACATTTATAAAATATTTAATAAAGACCGTAATATTTTGTATTTATTCCCTTTAATGTAGGATGTTGAGCAATTTTAACACTGATTGAATCCGGTCAACTCAGTTAAAAAGAAATAAATAAACAATTAATCTATAGTAGATGAATTGCTTAAATCATTTCCTCTGCTTTCTAAATACATTGTTAAACCAAACAATTGATCAGTTAAAAAGTATAAGACTGAATTAATGATGTAAATAATAATTTATTCCTAGTATTTTTATTTAATGCGGCTTCCTGTATCCTGCATATAACGGAACAGCATGATTGAGAAGGAAGTAGTAAGGTCATTGGGGTCAAGCAGTGAATAATAAGACCTGAGAGTGATGTGTATGGGCCTGTCCGCACTTGTAGAACTATTAATTTGAGCATATTTACACAGCAAAGACAAAGCCTTGTGAATGTGCATAGAGACACAAACCTCCAGCAGCCCGGGGGGGGGGGGGGGGGGGGGGGGATCTGATTGCCTCACTGAGCAGCACTGTGTCAGCCTCGTAACCAGACGGCTTTTTGCACCTACACGTCGTACGATCACTTCCGCTCTGCCTGCGTTCTTGAAGGCATCCCCATGGCAACCACAAGTCACACATCTCAAACTCATTCTTAACAGACCGGGGGGCATAGTGCACTCCCCCGCAGGCACTCAGACGTCTGTGTGAAGGTGGTTCTGTTGGAAGACGTCAGCGCTGATCCACACTCAGAGGCGTGTAAAGTCCAGTCCTCAGAGTTCTGCGAAGTGACCACATGACACTAAAGCATTAGTATATATATTATAACAAAACCAAACTCTTGCTATTACTTGTTTTGCTTAGACGTCAGAGCATTCACTTGAGAAATGTGTACTGTATTTACATTAATAATTACAGCTCTGCTAACTGGTGGTCGAACAAGAAGCCAATCATGCTGTGCCTGTAGTTAATCATTCAACTGCTTTACAAAATTCCCCCCATTTTTCAAACGTATCACATCAGGGCTGGGAATGTTTTGGTGTTACACTTGAGCTCTTATCACTCTGAGGGTATCGTGTTTTTGTTGTTCTCTGTGTTGGGCTACCAATCCTTCTGGAATAATTAGTACGAAGATTACAGTGTATCCAATTCCTTCACCATCCATCGTGTTCGGTTAATCCCCTCTGAGCAACACCAAAGACCCTCCAGTCCAACGATTACTGCTTGATGGAGCATTGGACTGCATATTCTACATTTTGGTGTGTTGCTCTTCAGATAGTTTAGGTCCTGTGTTCTCTGTGATGTTGTTTTATACTTTCAATCTATAATATTTTCACATCATTACAAAGACATGACATGCAGGCAAGCATGATTCAAGCAAACTGGAACTTTAATTTCAAGTAAAGCTCCTGGTTGTAAAGAACATTGAATTACAGGAATATACAGTATGTCCAGGAATATATGGCCATACAGCGAGGGGAACCAAATCAAACTTGAATCCAAGGGAAACATCCCATTTTATATATCATTAAATTGACATACTATTATAATGTATTTAGGAATGTATTTGTGTTGTGATAATCATGATCAGTCCTAAAATATGCTAGTGTTCTTCTCTCTTGTTATTTTTCTGTTTCAGGTATAGCATCTCTTACATTCCATTTGCCAGGTAAGACAACATGATGTATGTGCCGTCTACATTGGTGTGATGTGCATGTTCTTTCTGTTGTGTGTTGTGCTTTTGTAGATTTAGAGCTACCGTTTATATCTGACTCCTGTCCTGTCTATAAATGTCTCTATACGCACACAACAAACTGGAGAAAATATTTCCAGTGCCCCTCCAATGAAAACATGTTTTGATTTACCTCTTAACACGGTTTGCCTCCACCATATGGCTGTAATCCCCCCCACGACCATAGTGCAGGCACTTAGTGTCAGGCAAATGGCAGCTTGTTGTTTCACACTCCTCTGTGCTTTAGCTCTGTGATGCTATTGGCTTTATCCATAATATCTAAATGAAATCATTCCCTGTGGCATAATGCTCTTTCAGACAGATTCACAAAAAGACTGCCCTTTCCAATGAAGCTTTTCATATTGCTTGTGATGAGCTTATGTTAAGCTCTAAAGGGTTAAAGCAGAATGCCACATTTTGATTAGATCAAGACCTAAATAGGCTGCCGTGCATAAGATAGGAGGACAGAAACCTCCTACTTTCTCTCTCTGGCTACATGCTTTATATGTATATTGGATAATGTGCACTATAGAGCCCAAAAGCCTTCAAATCTGTAGAGAATTTTCATTCAGAGTAAATACACTCAGATTTCCACTTCTCAAATGGTCCCATATGTTGTACCTCAATGCTTTCTCAAAGCCCAGCGTGAGGTGTGGTGTTGTTTTGTCAGTCCAGCTGTAAGCAGGGTTATGTCTCATTTGGCAAGAGCCCACATGAACCCCCCCCCCCCCCCCCCCCCCCCCCACCTAAGTGCCCTGTGTATTTGGGCGACCCTATAATCTATCCTGACAGCTGAGAGACGTCCCATAACCACCCAGACTTCCCCCTCCCCCAACCCAAATGCTGTCAACAATACCGAGCTGGGACAAAGACCTTTTCCCGTGCTACCCTTCCAAATAACAAATTCCTTTAGAGGGATGCAAATGTGACTGCTTCTGACTTCCCGAGAGTAACTTATTTATTCGTTACTCCTTTGTTATTATAATTTGTTCAACACATTAATGTCCCTCTCTCCTTAAGCTTCTTACTTCTTAATCCATTTTTCATTTAATTTAGAGTTGATGGTTTATCCCTTTATTGCTTGCCATGTTGTTGCAGTGCAGCACATTTTGATCACATATCTATCCCTCTGAGTGACACATTAAGAAGCACCAGCCTCTTTCCATACTGACCAGTCGTACCGTGATACCTGGCTCTCCACTTCATGGCCAATGGATTTGATCCTTTAATGTGTTTTACCTTGTTGTCTATTTATACCCTCTCAGACCGAGGCAATACAATCTGCAGCATGTGCACTTCCCACAGTGCTTTAAGGATTGCTCTGATATTTAATCAAAGATTGGGGGTAAAAAAGTCCCTGAGACAGATATTTTATTCATGTATTATTTCTGGAAATGGATATAGCATCAAGTGATTATTTAAAAAGAAACCTCAAGCTGTACGGGATGAAAAACATGAGGATTGGTGTATTTAGTTCATACATCAGAGGGACAAACCTGAGCGTCTGAAGGAGCAAGTCTCCTGTCTGTCCCCCGATGCCCCCCCCCCCCCCTCTTAGACTGCTTATGATCCCCCCTTCTCCTTTTAACCTTGACTGGTACAACACCTCCTCCACCGAAATGTCACCGCCGCTCAAGGCGAAGTCTGCATAGCAACACACCGATGGCAAAAGGGAAACGGTGTGAGGGTGAATGGAGAAGGCAACGACGGCCTACGGTTGCCATGGCGATCGCTCGTATTGCATCATCCCTCACAACAGAGCACCTGGAGACAGGGAGCCCCCCCATCACTGTGAGCATGTGGTGCTTCCCAGCCAAAACATACTCACTTATTCATGACGAGCCCCACCCAAATCATCGCGACAAAGGGCGGGGGGGCTTTATAAGTCGCTTTTCATTTTGTGCGCATGAAAGAATTTTACCTCGGATTACATTTTTGAGAACAACATTCCTTCATTCCTGTGTCCTGCCTTTATTTCATTGATCATAATGGTGGCTGTTGCTTAGATTTTCTTTTCTTTCCTCAGGGACGCTGTGATGAAGCTCTTCACTACCTGTGTGAGTTAGGACCCCACGGCTGTGAAGACTTGTCCTAATATGCAAACTGTAAGAGCAGTGACTGTAAAATATACATCTATGTTGTTTATACATTATATCTCCAGATTTTTACTATGGCTTGTTTCATACTGTGAATTCTTGCTTTTTTTCAAGTTTAGCTTTAGGTCTGTAACTATATTCCCATTATAACCCCTTTTTTCTTTTGATGTCAGAGTGCCTTTTCAATTCTTAATATATTTCAAGATTTCCCTATGTTTCATAAGAATTTTAAACTAAATGAGTACAGGTAAATTATTATGAATTTACAAAGCAAAGTCCTTTACATTATTATAGATATAACCTGTAAATATATCTGTTGACAATGAAAAACCATACATATTGACGTTTTGAACTGTAGATTTTGAAATGATCTTCTTACCTCTTGTACACAAACAGAAGCGATCTGTTTTCTTTGCAAGGCTCGGATGTGTAAAGAGGCTCTCGGATGCTCTTCCATGTTTATATATGATTATTTTCCCTTAGGCCATTGAGGCATTGCTTCACTGATGATGCACTGGGATATATGATATCCAGAGATTAAAAGCGCAGCTCCTGTCTAGCCTGTTTGTCTGCATGTGTATTTGAACACACCTGCCCCCCCTTAGCTTGTCAAATTACATTAAAATGGCCTCTTCTGCTTTAAATGAGATTTCCTAGATGTAGATATGTCCGCATTAATTACGCCCTTTCTGAGCATTGTGATTTTATGTGACCTAATAACCTAGAATCGCTTGCGCCGAGTTCCCTGTAGTGCTTCGGCATGATGGCATAGCCTTTGAGGATGTGGTCGTCATGACAACCTCCCCCGGAAGATTCACAACCTCAGCCTTCCCCCATCTGTGGTGCAGATGTTCACATTATCCTCATGAGGAGTTGAGGGTTTTCTGAATAAAACGCCATTTAGTCATGGATCTCTCCCCAGATAGTGAACAAATATTTAATAGCATTTATTTATCAATCAAAAGCCACATTAAGGACCAAGCGCACCCTGTTTCCCTGTGTACAAGCAGCAGGGTTTGCTCAAGGTTTACCCAACACGCCTCTAGGTTTCTTTGTACTTCACGCGACTAAGTAACTACATTGCACTTCCTGTTGTTCTGCCCCCACATAGTTTCATTAGATGCGTGTATAATGTGGTGGATTAGCATGGGCAAAATCTCCCCCAGTACTACTTGTTCAACTAACTTGGCGCAGACCGAGCAAATCCTTGAGCAATTAATCTGAGGGATAAAATCATTTTGTCGAGCGAAGGGAGGGTGGTTGTTTTGTGATCCCACTATTTTTGGATTACGCTGAAGTTTTAAGGTTGAAGAGAAAGAACCCCTGACCTCTGCAATCTGTTGCAGTCTCCCAACTGTTTTCTTTTTATTACATCTAATCCATTGTTATGTCAGAGGAGCGGGATCCCACGCACAACAACCAATGAATCAAAAACAAATCTGAGTCCCCTTCCGATAAATAATCCAGCGCATCATTCATGTCATGAAGAATAAATAACACTCCATTATAATGTTTATTTTTTTACTATTCAAGTGAGTTGGCCTAAATAGATATTTGATTGAAAAAGATCATAAGTTTCCTTTGAAAGTATGAACCGCCATGGGCCCAATGTTACACATGCCAAATGTTATTTCCTTTTCACTTAAATTCCTAATTTCTATGTGGTTATCATGGAGCAATTTAATAATGCACGGTAAATGTTTCATAAACTGTAAAAGATCTACATCCTCAGGCAATTTCAAATAAACAGTCCAAAAAAAATACAGATTTAAATGGAATTATTGATTTTCTCTTACACTCTACAATGAGGGAACAAAATCTCATCGAATCGATTGAGGTACTGTCTACATAAAATGCAGATAGCGGGGAAAAGGGAAAGAAATCAATATTGAGACTATTTGTGTTTTACCCCGGATGTCTCTCATAGGCTGCATGGCTGAAAGAACAACGACGGATAGACATCAGTTCATTGATATTTGAGACTATATTGACTGAATGAGAGGATTGTGCATGTTTTGTTTGTTCAAGGACAGAGAGTTATCTTACAGCACCAAGGACCAAACACTATCTTTATGACCATATGATATATACAGTACATGTACAGAATCTGGGGGTCTTTACAGCCAGGGGGCTACTTTAACCAAATAATGTGATTTGGAGATGAACATTTCACATTTTTGGGTATTTTATCAAGTTGTTATGGTTCATATACAGGCAGTGTAAACATGTCTCACCTTGTTCTCAATTGTTTTTCTTGTCTGAATCAGGATAGGGTTATTCCCAAGTAAAGTATTCACTGAAAATGAACTTTCCTTATTTGGTGCATACAATACATTCAGAAGAAAGAAAACAACAGTAACGTGTTAAACGTCATTTAAAAGATTCTTGTACGTATATGTTCAATATATAGTGTGTATATAACTAACTATTAAGGGACATTTATGTAAACGTATACATAGGATTTGAAAGAAGATGCTTCATTTTCAATGATACTGTCTGCTTAGGCTAAATATGAGTCAGTTTAAGAAAACCAGACAAACCTCCAGCTGTGGTTACTTAGATATATCAATCCTGTCACTTTCACCAAACACAATTATTTGAAGATGTTTCATATTCTTGGAGGATGATTATCTTTGAATCAATTTGACTGTAATACAGCAGAGCGGCGCTGTGAGGAAAACATGAGCTTGATGTCGCTCATTGCTTCAGGAAGTTATTGGAAATGATGAAATGACATCACCACAGTTTTTTCCTGGCTTTGTTTGGTGGTTCTCCTGACCACGCCTTCCTGCCAGCTCCACCATAAAGCAGCCAGGCCTCAGTGTTCACCAGTTGAACTCCGGTCAGTGTGGACAACAGGTGCACTGCAGCTCTCTCCGCCTCCCTGCTGGATAATGCCCGCAGAGAAGCGCCGCTCGTCGCTTTGCGCCGCGCTTCCTCATCATCTGCACTTTGTACATTTGTACGTTTTTGTATCCTGATCACTTCTAGCCGCAAGAATGCCTTTTCCGCCCCTCAGCCTCCACCAGCGGATCTCCTCTCCTGGCAGGGATCTATTCGGGAAAAAGAAATCCACCGGAGTGCCTGCTCACACTGAGCTCACCAGCAAATCCGGTGGAGAGAAAGCGGGGTCGGATAGGGAGAAGCAATCCTCTCCTTGGACAACCGCGAATTTACGGAATTTGGGCCGTAAAGCCCATCGAGAGAAGAGCAAAAGCCCTACTCAGAAGTCAAGTGGCGGTCAGGAGACCCAGGGAAAAAGCTCCTGGCTGTCGGTGCCCAAACCTCAGGACTCTGAAGGAGTCAGGCGCTCCAGCTCCATGGACTCCGCCAGACACCTCCACGGAAAAGATGAAGGGAAGAAGGAGATCCAGTTTACCCTCAGTCTAACCCCTGAAGCCATTCTTGTCATCCAGAAACGAAATCTAGAAAAGCAAATGATGGCAAAGCAGCAGAAGTGTTGCGCATCCGCGGACTTTCGACACCGGCGAGTATTTCCATCCAAAAAGGCGCACGGATCGTCCAATAAGGGCTCCGCTCCTGTGGCCAAAGCGGAGAGCGTAGAGCAGGACATCACCGCCATCGTTAAGATATCTCTTTTGAATGATCAGTACAAGTACGACGATGTAGAGTATGAAGATGAGGACGGAGACGTGGACGAGACTGTTGTTAGGAAATGTAAAGAGTGGCTTAAAGGAGTCGAGAATGCCGCTGCTTTGGGGAAAGTCGACAAACGTTCTGCACTTCCGCACCTTAAAGGATGCTGACACATGACTTTTGAACTTTTTATTTTACTGAAGAGATGATGGACTCATGACAAGTGTGCACCGATGTAGGCCTGCTGCAATGGCATCTTACATTTGAGTTATGTCAATTAAACGTATGCAAATGAGGGGAGACAATTAACTCCAGTTTAACTCCAAATTGTATGGCTTATTAACTGAAATATATGTCAGCAAGAATAACACTCATTGGACGAAATTCACATAGAAAAGTAATAATTTTGACATTGGACACACCATTTTTTTTTCATTGCAGCGTGTGGCACTGTAGCCAACAGTGCTTCTTATGGGATGTTGCTTTGAAGTTTAAAGCCTGGTCAATGTTTGTTAAAGTTAGAACTGAACACCTTAATAACCTCGTCCTTTGCACATGGTTTTGTTTTCAGTGGATTGGCAGAGGGGTTTGCGTAAAGGGACGTGGAACGGTTCCTTTGTGTGGGTGAACAATACGCTGTCAACAACAGCTTTATACGCGCCTGCTGCTGAAACCAAACTGGACTGTTTATTTTTCCTCTAATCACAGAGGGTTATATCCTTTTTATGGATTTATCATTGATGTACAGTATTTAATATTTACTAAATATTTGTACTGTCAAACGTTTTCTCAGCTGATGATTTTATGCCATTTGAAGTAAAAAATGTCTTTTTTAAATGATGCAAGTGTCTCTGACCCGTTTGAATATTTTAAAAGCTGATTGTGTTGGATAATTACCTTACATGTTGCTGATTCGCAGTCACTCAGATTTCTTTGACACTGCTGGCCATATGTTAAAGGCTCTTTTGTTGCCACTGTTGCTACCTGAGGCCATTTGGGCATTAGTGATGTAAGCTTCTTAGATTTCCTTTTAAGCGGGCTGACCAGTGTACTACAGTGGGGCCCAGGTACATGATCCCTTCAGGAAATTACTTCCAGTTTTCTTTACCATTGTCCTATTAAACAAAACGATGCATGTAGTTACTAAACATAAATAGTGTTGGTGCGAAATATCTGGGAGATAAGTTCACCCTAAATACCAGAACAACATGGTTTGCAGCAAAGGTATTCCCAGTTTGAACTGAGGGCATAATCCCACTGAGCTACAAGATCTATGTTTTAGTTCTATAAGAGGTAACTAACTTTGTGTACTGCTCAGGGAGAAACAGCTGGTCCGAAATCAATTTGAGTGCTTTAAAAACAAACATGCCCTGTTTTGTTGGCAAGAAAACAAAATAAACCAGAGTTAATGAGAAATTAAGCATTAAAGACACGTTTGGCTTCTTTGATGGTTCTCAGCGGTCTATTGTATTGACAATTAAATGGAAATTTAAAGTAAACTGTGATCCCTTCCAGCTTTGGACACAAATGAAACCTTCATGCGGGGTCACAAACACATATATTCAAATATTTGTGGTTGTGTGTCCAGAGTGAAGGCTCTCTGCAATAAGGCTTTACCATTGTTCTCCGTCACTTGGTAACCAAAGTTTGTGGTAGACTTTAAAGCCCAAAATTGGACGGCGGAGTGTAACCTACAGTATTTCTGAAAAGCCCACATGCCGACAGCTGGTAAGACATTCTTGAAAAATGACTTTTATGCTCCTATAACATTGCAATTTAATATCATTTTGGAATTTGATGCCAACAATCTTTTTTCCAAAGGTATAATCAACAGATTTGCCATGCAATCTGTGTGCAAGGACCTTCACCAACCAAGCCTTCTTCATTCTCCTTCGAATGCACTTACTACCTGTTGGTGTCGGAAAGGTATTTTAAATAATCCACTTATCAGCACTGAGTTTTTTATTTTATTACCATGGTACTTGAAATGTAAAACATCTATGGAGTAGTTAATTAGTTGTCAAATATGTGTCTTTCCATTGTGTTCTAGCACATGACATTACAGATCTCACATGTGAGTGAAGAACAAGCTGCCAGAATAAAGCATCTTGTCCTGAATAGATGTTCCCATTCAGTGTCACAAAGTGGTTTAATTGTTGCATGTCACAGTCTGAGATCATGGCTGGACCAGTACAGTGTGTACCAAGACCCGTCCGCCTCTCCCGTGATGATATTATCAACAGGCTCGGTGTCCAAAGGTTGTGTAATCCCTCTCTATTGTGTCATTTCAATTGTGCCCTTGTTTATGTGCCTCTCTCGTGGTATTCATTGCTGTCTGGTGTGGGCCTCAAGCTGAGCTATTCATGTCTGTCCTGGGGGTGAGAGCTGCATTATTGTGTCTGAAGTAGCTGAAATACTTGTGTTCAACAGGGAAAAGTAGAAATTAAAGAAGCAGGTTGACTTGGTTACAGGTGAAAACACTTTCTTTCAAGGTCTTCTCACTTATTTGTATCCCCTGCCACAAACTGTTTCTGTTTACACCTGCAGCATCTGATAGCAATGTCTCTACCTGGGTCAAAAGAGGCTTCTGTCCACCTCACTGCAGTATCATGATAGCAGTGTGATAGCAGAGTGTGCATTATGCTCCTCTTATTTATAGTGACAGGGAGCACAGATGGATGCTGCTTCCGCCCTGTCACTGACACTTTGCACACAGCACTGCAGGTCCCTCTGCTCTGCCACAACAGTATTACTGTGGCAACGGAACTGATAAATCTGCGTTTCCAGCAGCTTTTGTGAGAAAAGACAAAGCAGACACTTCCTGCACAGACTCGGCCCATAAACTTCAGTAATGTGGTCATTTAGTGGCAGCCTGTTAAGAATAAGGCTTTTCCCAGAGACCGGGCGACCTCAGAGAGAACACTTAGATCACAGAGTGCCGTCCTCCCTTTAAAGCTCAAGCATGTTTTATTCTTCATTTAAGGATAATAAGAAGGGAGCATGCAGCTCCATGTTATGCAGTTAATCTGCTTTGGCATGTTACTCCCATTACATTACATGTCACTTGTTAGACGCTTTTATCCAAAGCGACTTACAGACTCAATACAGTGGGCAATCCCCACAGGAGCAATTTGGGGTGAAGTGTCTTGCCCAGGGACACAACGACATGCTGACTGCAGTGGGGTTTGAACCTGTGACCCCCTGATCCGAACACCAACGCTCAACCCACTGCACCACACGCCTCCATTAGCCTTACATTCCTTGTTACCATTTACATTCCTTTGCATCTTATATTTTCTCTTAATTCGTTTCTCTTAACAAGTTACCTCTTGCCTTAAAAAGTATTAGTTGAAATCTGTCTCTAAAACCTTCCTCTGCAACATCTGTCGGGTATCAGTCCTCATCCGGATTAAAGGGAGAGCAATGATACGCTAAGGGACAGCCCTACAACATTGGTTTCTAGACACATGCCGGAAATAAGGTAAGAGCTTTGTGGGAGAGGAGGTGGGCATATTCCTCCTGCGTAGCTATTTTTTTTTTAGCTGGATCTTGCACGAACACAATGTCAGGCTGGTGTGTGTGTGGGAGGTTGCTTTTGGCGGGCGTGGGGGATTACCAAAAATGCATTCTTATTTTTTAATCTTCAGGCAAGCTGACTGATTCACTCCCACAGCATCTAAATTGGGTTTTTACTGTGGATAGGCAGGGGATGGAGTGAAAGCCCAGCCCTGGAGGAGGAAGGCAATGCATGATGGAAGTCCAGACCCGGACCAAGAGGCCAAGGCCCGGCACCAGGCTCAGCTGGAGCAGGTTGATAAATACTATAGGATAAAAAGTTTGTGTCACTTTTATAGGCATTTTTAGCTGCTAGTTATAAACATGCTTGTTGATAAATTATCAATAGTTTCTTCATCTCCCAATAATACTGAAGCACAGTAGTGCCTCCATATTTAGGTGGTGCTTCCTTTTAGCTCACTTCCCCTCAGTTTGTGTCCTTCCTTATCTTGTCTATCCTCCAGCGTCATCTAGAGGCCTACAGGAATATGCACCGCCTCAGAAAAGCCCCCTGTCGCCGATATGCTGCCCTGCTCTCAGACAAGGTCAGCTCCCAGAGAGCACTGCTGCAGCAGAGAGAAGAGGCAGCCAGAGGCAAGTCAGAGAGTGAGGCTCAGCAGGTAAAGCATAACATCCAAGTGTAACAAAACTCAGTGCTTTATTTTAGTCTTGAATTATCATAACAACTCTGTTGTTCGTTTATACTATAGTAATTAATATCGTGGCTGTCCTGGCCATGTTGAACTGTTTTCCATCTCGTATTTTGTGTCTGAACTTGTGTGGTAGTTTCATTATACATGTTTAGAATCACTCACAGAGACAATTATAATAAGATAATGAATCTAATAAAAGTCTTAATGTTAAGATTTTCACCTACAAGACACAGGTCAAGCATTAAAGTAATTATTCTACTTTTTTAAATTGTTTATTTAATAATTACCAGAGACAGTGCACACTATTCAACACATCAGTTTCCTCCTCAATGTATGAGTTAGCTAATGAGCTAATTTTGTAGTCCAGTGTTACGTTATTTCAAATAGTGGCACTACTCGCTTGAGCTAAACACTGTGATACACTACAATACAATATAAATATAAAACAAAGTAGCAGAAAAGTATGATGATGGTAGGTTTGCTAAATTTGCGTGTTCAGGAGTAAAAGTTTTGATGCAAGAGTCCAAACTCCTTTCTTTAGCTGGCCATGTTTTTGCCTGGACGGCCTGTTTTGACCTACAGGCTGTCATTTGCCTACCACAGCACCACACTTTGTCTGAGCTCAAATACACAACCCTCCAAATCAAAGCCTCCCTGTTTTGCCTGTAACACCTTCACTTTCTCCCCTCAAGTGACATGCATAACATTAAAACCATTGCAGCTGCAGTTTACAACTTAATCCTGTGAGTCTTTAAATCCTGCACCGTATACTGTGGGCAGTGTAGCAGCCTAACACTTTGATGAATGGAACTTTTGTAGCAATTATTTATATTATTCATTCAAATGTTAACTTCCTGATCCTGCTTTTGGATCATCATGAAAGCAAAGAAAGTCCGTAATCATTTGAATCTTAAAAAAATAATGAATAATTGATGTTGAAATTTAAAACCACTTAGTTTTAACATTGAAACATTTATTTTTACTTTTCTGACCATTGCAAATTCTTTTCACATTGTCATTTTTGATCCGCTGCTGTTTTAATATCCATTTCAATCACTTTAAATATAGATTTTCGAATTTGAGACTATACTGTGTCTAAATTGATGAACCCTAGAAAGTACTTGTTGCAAAAGTAAAATGTCAAATTTGGGAATTGAAACCAAAACTTCTGAAAGATGTGTTTCAAAGTACATGTCAATGCTACAAATTCAGTGGTATCAAAATATAAGTAATAAAGTTTTAGTAACATTTCACAACTAGCTATTAAGTTGTTTAAACAACCCACAAATACAAATGTAGTTTCCTGTTCTTGTTTATAATTCCCCTCCTGCTTAGTTGCTGGGATTGACTTTGATTTTGACTCATCTCTGACAGGGTGTGAAAAGAGCAATAAGCTTTACAGAGGGTCTGCAAGGAGGGGGTCTGACATGAGAGAGATCCTGTCTTATCTTCCCCTCCTGTAAAAGCTGAGCTCCTTCAGGAGGATGTAATTGTCCTCTCTAATGACTTGCACTTGGTAGGGGAAGACAAAGAGAGCACAATAAAGGACTTTAGAGGCCCTCCAGTAGGAATCCTTTGCTTTAAATTGAAGAGCAAATGAAACTGCCTGTTGTTTCCTCGGCTCAGGTCGAGAGGCTCTGTCACAGACACAGAGGTGAGGCAGGACCAAAGCAGACCGAGGCGAGAAAACCTGCTGGGTCCTAATTGGTCCTCGCTGCTGTTAATGGCTTCCTGTGGCTGTGTGTTTACTTCTCATTTGTTCTGTGTACTCTGTTTCCCAGCCCCAAAACAAGGGAGGCCTGCCCTCTGTCTCTGCCTGTCTGTCTGCCTCCTCTTTTCTTCTTCACTCAGAAACAAAAGAAGTTGTCCTTCTCCAAGCTGCTGCATGATGACTCATACCTGAAGCCCCTCCCTAAAACCAGCTATTACCTGGTAGGTTTTGACCCAGCAGCAAAACACCTGACTTCAATCCAGCCCTGCCTTTGATTTATGTTTAATCCCGTTCTGTGACATTCATCAAATTGTCCCTCACAATCTCTTTTCTGAGATCTTTGACCTCCAGAGGCAGTTATCTAAGCATGGACATTTGAAAACCCACCACGACTTGGAGGACTTTTATAGGGGCATCAAATATAACCGTCACCCAGTACAGCTGTATAAAAGTCTGGAGGATGTCAAGAAAAGGAGTTAAGAAACATTTTTTATATTAAAACGTTCTCTCTAGATATGTTATGGAGAAAAGCAGGAGATGTGAATTTGTAATATGTGTTGATGTTACAGTGTTGGAAAGCAGACCTGCAGCTGGTTTGATGACCGACAAGAAATCAGAAAAATATCCCCACACCGCTGAAGATAGAGGACATGAAGGCCACTCCAGGAGGAGAATACCTACACTGTAATAAGTAGTGGTTACTTCATGTAATAGACCTGGGAAATAAGTTCAGGCAGATATATATATATTTTAACGTATGATTATGTCTGCTGCCTTGATTGTAAACGCTGCAACATTCGGTACTTTTAGAGTAATATTTTGACTTGATTTGTTTTTTCAGATGTAAGCTTTTTTGCTTTTTTCATGACACTTGGACAGATAGATTGACACCACACTCTCACATTTGTCTGTTAAAAATAAAGTTACAGCTAAGCCAGTTAGCGTAGCTTAGAAAATGGGAAAACAGCAAGCCTTGCTTTTGCACCTTTTTAAAACTTGCAAATTAAAATAAAAACAAAAAATAGTTTGTTTGAGTCTAAAAGCAACAGGTTGAGATTATATGGGGTTTGAGTCACAAAATGATTCTCTAATGCTTTAAAATAAAACAACGTACAAATCTTCAATATTTCGGACTCAGGGTATACGTGTAAAAGATACAGCTGGTGTTGGTAAGGGGCCGGCTGTCTGTAGAGGCCTCGGCTCCTAAACTGTGAGCTCTCTGGATCTCTGTTTGCTCTGCCTTTAAGAACAAACAGGGACTCCACTGGAGGCTTGTTTAGCGTGGACCCTCCTGGAGGAGAGAGCTGATTACTCACGTAGAAGTGAGATGACCAAACACAATCTGACCCTGCTGTTGTGGAGACTCGCCTACTCGGTCGGCCACTTTAACTTCCACAAACATCGTCCAGGGGAAAATGTTGTCATTATGTCCGCTACGAAAGAGATATAGCAATTGGGCCAGTGGTGTCACCTTATGCCAGCCCTGTGAACAGATGTGGAACTGTTTGAGAAGTTCCTACTCATTTAAAGCTTTATGGGCGTCCAGGCAAACAGCACTCCATTTAGCAAAAAGTGGCAGAGATAATCGGAGAGCCTTTAAGACTTTGAGTTGTATTGTGGTTCCACTCATCGCTAGTTATACAAGCATTATACTGGTATTAAGAATAATCTACTACTTAAGCTTCAGTTTGAAGATAGAAGACTGGAGGTTTTGTTTATTCTGCGGCTAATACTAAAACTGACATCATCTTTTAGTTTATACACCTGAACCTTGACACTTCCCGCTCAATTTATTGTTGAGTATTGATCAACATTACAACTTGAACTTCAGTGTTCTACTTTTTTAGCACCCTAACCCTAAACTTCACTTAGCACTAACACTTGTATGACACTTTGATGTTGAAACCTACCTTTCTTTCATCGCCTCCATTTTAACTGCTAATTCCACTTCTCTCAGTAACTCTAGGTAAATTGCCTCTTCAACTACTGTTTCAGTATTAGAACTATATCAAGCATTTAAAATCTAATATTTCAATAGAGAGTAAAGTGTTACGTATTTTCTGTTTAAATGTATTTTAAGATGGGCAATACGTATGGAATTAGAAGCACTTTGATTTATTCCAGAAAACTCTCAAATGCCTATCTCTTTCTCTAGTTCTGCTGTCGTACCTTTTTTAACACAAAAGAATGCGATTAAAATGGGTGCTGATAATTTCAACCACACATTTGACAAATTATAATCTAGTGTTTTTGCTTTAAATCTAAAGAAGGTACCTACCAAGGCATGTTGTTTGGATCGACATTACATGTAGGCACCTGCTCGTATCACCCTCGGTGTCCCTTGTGTTTACATGTTGTGAATGTATAACAGACCGGTGTCGGCCACTGTCACCCTTGTTGTTAATTGGGGCTGAATTCTGTTTAGTATGAGCATGTATGATGTTAGCAAGAGGCTGTCAGCGTCAAACAGCTCATTGGCTTGGGGACATTAGACTCTTGGTAAGAAGACGAGTGAAGGCTTACGCTGACAAGTCCTCCATCAGTGTGAAATCTCACCACACCACAGACAAACATGGCGAGACAGCGGCCCTCCCTGCGCCCCCAACCTCTCTGTGCTATAGGCACATTCCCCACATCCATAAGAAATACCCAAAATATAAGCAATTAGAGCTGAAGACAATATATGGAGTCGGCAAAGTCCTTGTTTATGTTTGAGCCAATTCATCCAATCTGTCCTGCGTTGGTTACTATTTATATGTTTATTATTAGCTGCTATGATTTATTGGACAGTTTGCTATCTTTGTGACCATCTGGTCATGGTCTCTTCAACATGTTGAATTTCACAAGTATGCATTACAGGCCTACAAAATTAAATTGACCAGAACATACCGTGTCTATTACTATAGTTGACTGCGATGAGTGGAAAACGCACAGAAGCCTGGGCTGGTCTAGTTGCATCTAATTTTGTCAACCTTTTTAATGAGTTATCATTTACGCCACTGCATTGTTGGGCTTTTAACATGTCATCACTAATATTATACATATATGAGTGCACAGGTCCACATCCTCATTCCTCCACTCGCCTCAGGGTTTGTATAGATCTGTTACCTGCTGCACTGTGCTGTGAGTAAACGCTGCCTTGCTCAGGAGTCCTCCCTGAAGCCAGTTTGCACCCAGCAGACAAAGTGTGTTGTCACCCGAGTGCGCAGTGTTATTGGGTGTGAGCTGCACCACACTATAGATACTCTTGAGAAGTAGCACACCATTAGGAATATATTAACAACCCAACATTTTGTGTGCAGGTCACACATCCCAGCTGTATGCAAGTTGACCAGATTACAGTATGTTTGAACACGGTTTTGCCTCAATCATTATTTCTTAGATGTAAATGTGATTTTTTTTTGATGGCCTTTTGTTCGTAAAATTAGCTGATTTCTGCACGTGTGTGTGTTTGGGTCTCCAGGATATTAGAGCATGAGTCTGGATCAGGAGAGGGCTTTGCAGAGCTGATCTTTGGTGGCAGCCAGGAGAAGGAGCAAACTGAGCAAATGTTTCCCAAGGTTAGTGTAAAAACCACAGGGGCAGCAACCCCACTTAACAAGGGCAGAGGGGTAAACACACCTGGAGCAGTGATCACCCTCCTCAACCAACACACAAATAATACACTAAACAGAAAGACATATTACTGTTTAGTTAGTAATGCTATATTTTCATCTTTTTCATTTTCCGTTTACTATTTACTCCCAGCATGTGTATAGCTGCAGGTAAGTTACAGCCAGGATTTGCTTATCTTAGCATTAAGACTATAGTATCAAAAAGTAACAAATATATAGACATTTTATTCATTAGGATAAACCCCTTGAGATGCACCATCTCGTTTTCAAGGGGGTCCCGACAATAGCAACAATTTACAGACATACATAAACAAAAAGACAAAATGCAAAACATGACACACAAGACAAACCACATACAGTCTAAGTGAAATTCAAGCAATGCACACAATCATTACAATTTGAGACAGTCAAGCAAATCAGTTTCATCAATATCAGTTAATAACAAGTACAGACCAGTTGAAAGTGAGATGACAATGCATGTTTAAATAAACCCAATGATGCAAGAGATCTAATAGCAGCAGGTAACGTATTCCAGTCAGTTGGGGCTTTGAACATGAACGCTCTTCCGCCAATCCATTTTTTTGCAGAGGGGACAGAAATGAATCTGAACAGAATGTCTAACTTGATGAATTGGTGAGTAGGGTACAAAATACTGCTTTAAATAAGGGGGATAGTTAAGATAAATGCATTTAAATATCAGCTGAAGCCAATGCGTGTGTCTTCTTACATTTAAAGTAGGCCATTTAAGTTGGTTATACATTGTGCAGTGATGTGTACGAAAAGGACAACCAAGGACAAATCTGCATAGTCTGTTGTAGGCTATGTTGAGTGGAGCAAGATCTGATTTATGTGCATTTTGGTAGACAACATCCTACCTAAATTCCACCTACCAGTAGGCCTTCCCCTAAAACACACTGACTAACATGTTAAATCTTGTTTTGAAGTGTAAAATGTATTATTTAATGAGGTGTCTTTATAACCACATGACCCAGGCTAGCTGTTTATTCATGTTTCTAGTCTTTATGCTTCATCAGAATATAATTGTGGCTTCGTGTCACAGAAAAGGCTCACCATGCCTTTAACCCAGAAGACTAAGCAAAATACTTCTTAATGTTATTGATTAAATTAAATTCTAATCATTAGGTAGAAATTAGATTTTCATATTATATTCGTATAAGATATTTTAAACTCTACAGAGATCAGGAGAGAGGCTGGGAAAAAGTGAGAGCATTAGAGACGAGGTTATGCTCAGGTGCTGAGATGAGCATAATGGACAAGCACGCAGGACTCATTTTTCTCTCACCTTTGTGTCAAAACGGGCCTGAGCAAACAGAGGATGAGCCTGGCTGGAGGGAGAGCAGGCGAAGGCAAACAGTGGTCAGACAGGACTGGTGAAAGCCAACAGCGAGCAGGGGCATTAACTCACTGCTGCTCTGTGCTGACATCTCAGACCCTCCACTGTAGGAGAGGCCTGAGACCGCAACCCCTTAGCTCACAATCTGGGGTTTAGGTCTTAATGTTTGTGAGTTACCAACACGATGTATGTGTGGGAACTGTGGTGACGTCAGGCCACTACCACCGCCTCAAAATAATATGCAATTGAAGGGAAATAATTGAATTACCTGCAAAATACTACCTTTATTTTCAACCTTATACAAGAAAGTCAACTTGTTCAACTGATCAGGTTTGAAGTCACATTTTGTTTTTAATTTGATGGATTTATATTATATTGCCTTGTTCTTTAATTATGTAATCAATATGTGATAAGTAAATAAGAGTGTTTTCTGCACTCAAGCAATCAAATTATGTTGTTGTTATTTTAGAGTAGTCTAAAAGTTGCCCCATGATTTCCCTTCATTGCATTAGTGAAAATCAGCTTGAAACGAGCCTTAAACTTTGAGAATCAAAAGAAATCTTGATTTCGTAAATACACCTACAATGATAAACAACATTATCATTCAAAGTAAGTGAGATCAAAATGACGTCAAAACGTAAGCACATTTGTGTCTTATGATGTTGATCCTCAATACCTAGTGTATCAAATGTAAGTCAGTGGTGATCTCAAAGGTAAGTATACCAGATACCCAAAAGTGGTTAGCAGTAAAGTAAATTGATTTGTAGTGAAAGGGTTCAAACGTGAGAAAACACTGGTATAGTCTTTTAAGTTTTAAAAAGAAGTAAAACTAAATGAATTCAGGTTTGAATGCAGTCTGCAGTTTATTTAAGTTGCACCTGCATTTAAGCCTTTTGAGGATAGGGGGGATGGGATAGGGATCTACTATAGAGCACCATATAGATCAATAACATTAATTCACAGTGCTCAGGACAAAAAAACAAACAGGAAGTAGCCAAGTGTGACAGTTAGCGCTGAGTGGGGTGTTGGAGGAGGAGTGAGAGGCGCCAAATGGGACACTAGGACTGTGGGAAATGACACTGGCTATGACACCTATGAATTTTACACAGTAGTTACCTCAGCTCGTATACAGGGGGATGTCTCTTTTTAAATTACAAAATGATTCATGGAAAAGGAAATGATAGATGAATGCAATATGTGCCACCCACAGATGAAAGCCCCCACATTTGCAACCCTACAGCGTAACTTTATGAGGAACTTTGAGAGCAAGATGCCTGATTTGGTATTTGGATTTTAAATGTGCTTCTTTAGGTAAGAGTGTATGGCAGCTGAGCAAAGAGGGAACACTGATGTACTTTCTTTCAATCACAGATTACCCCTGAGATTCCTGAGAAGAGCAAGAAAGCAGAGATTTACTTGAGACAGCTTAGACATATGCATGATCTTTATTGGACCAACATGGCTTTCTCCCAAAGGTTTGTAATTTAGCAAACAGGAAGAAACATTAAGGAAAATGTGCACTGACACGGATACTTAAAGTTAAGTTTTAGCAACCTTTATCAGTGTGGAGGAGACATCAGAAGCGTATTGAAGGAGGCTTTAACTGCTCTTTAAACTGAGTGAGGTTTGTTTTTCTCTGCTGGCTGTGAACTGTGGTCCAGACTGCTGGACAGGGAGACAGACTCTCTGAGCTGGCAGGAGGAGCGAGGCAACCAAGATTTGGTTAGTAACACAAACCAGCCACAACACAACACCCCCAGAACTCTATGGAAGCTAACACGTAGCTGTCACACAATATCAGCCTTTAACGTTTGTTTTTTTCCTTTCCAAGCCACCATGGCAACAGGTCACACCGAATACATTTACCAGAATACAGTAGTTATTTGTGAGCATGACACTGTATGACTGAAAGTAAATCAGTTGATTATGGATTGAGTGACCAGTGAGAGATTTGTTTTCCTTTCTTTCATAGACGCTTCCAAGTGTTGACTCCAAACAAGGGAAGACGAGCCAAACCAACCAGGCGCCTCTCTGCTCTCCAAAACAGCAAAGCAGTGTCCGGAAAGACCGGCCCTCTTGTTCCCCACCTCTGAGAAGAGTGACCTCAGCCAGGTGCATAAAAACACCTTTCATATTTATTTATTTATTGGAGAATAATGCCTGATTTTTCAGCATGTGTTTTCTTGGCAGACATCCATGTCTTGAAACTCTGGTTTGGGACATAGCAACATGCTGTCGGAAAACACCTGATCCCTTATCCATTGAAGATGTGTGTCAACAAGAGCATATAGAGGTACAATTATTCCTCAGATAAATTAAATTAGAGTAACAATTGTATTGTTTTTTTTAATTGGTTTTGTTTTCTTCTTTCTCTTTAGATAATTGACTGTGGATTTAAGCTGGAGGAACTATAAGGTCAACCCAAATCACTGAAGATAAAGCAATTATCTCTGTAGAGAAAATGTGCAAATATGAGTGTGTCAGTTCATATGGCAATTCTACAAAACAACATTACTATATTAAATGATTTTGATTTTCTTCTATAATGATGGCAGTGTCCTTATTCATTGGGTTTGCTGAAATATAAAAGTTATACTATAATGACGTCCGTTCTTCTGTGAGACTGGGTTGAACCAGTTCAATTGTTATAAGAATTGCTGTTAAAATGATGAAGTTTCACTGCAGGCAATTTGTTCTTTTAAGTGAGACACAATTGTTCACGATTTAGTAAATGCAATTTAGTAAATTCTTCCAACTATGTTTTATTTTTGTCAATTCATAATACTAGAGGAACGTTGACTTGTTGATACTTAGTTGTCACCCACTTACACAGGAGTGAAACAGTTCCAGGTTTAGCAACATTTTAAAGTAATCTGGGGTAAATTCTGATCCTTTTAGGGACAAAGAGCAGCTCAGCACACAGTGGCTGTGCTTTCTGCAGGTGTGGCTTTGATCTAAGTGTCAATGTTTACAGGTTGATGTAATAAAGAAGGTTAAACTGCTTTATTCAAAATCCTGTAGTCCTCAATGTATGGCCCTCTCAGCCAATCCCTGGCAAGCCCGCAAAGATCAAAGAGGAGAGGAGCCAACCATGTCCGCCCCAAACACCCATCCCGAGCCTGGCTTCACACTATATATCTAGGAGCTGTCCATGAAGTCCAGAGACCTGAGATAACTGAGTGTGGAGACGCAGGAACAGGAGAGATATTTCGTTTTTTTTTAAATAAGACCTGTGATTACATACATTCAGCCCTGGAGCTGTTGGACAGGATGGCCTCCGGCGAGTGTCCCGAGAAGGCCAGTCAGAGCCGGGTGGACCACCTCCTCAGCGCCGTGGAGAGTGAGCTGCAGGCCGGCAGCGAGAAGGGAGACCCCACGGAGAAGGAACTCAGCGTGTCCCTGGATGAGAAGACGCTTTGGCAGAAGTTTAAAGAACTTGTAAATGAAATGATAGTTACAAAGAATGGCAGGTAAGCTTGAGTGCAAACAATTAAATGTTTAACTAACAAAGCAACACAATTTTAAAAAACAATCTAATTGTCATAATGTCTATCAAGGCGGATGTTTCCGGTGCTGAAAGTGAACATATCTGGATTGGATCCGAACGCCATGTATTCAGTTTTGCTGGACTTTGTGTCTGCGGACAATCACAGGTGGAAGTACGTGAACGGGGAGTGGGTCCCCGGGGGCAAACCTGAACCCCAGACCCCCAGCTGCGTGTACATCCACCCGGACTCTCCAAACTTCGGGGCACACTGGATGAAAGCGCCCGTCTCTTTTAGTAAAGTCAAACTCACAAATAAACTGAACGGAGGAGGTCAGGTGAGGAGATCATTTTCAATGTTGTACTTTTGTTTGTTTTTCTTCAGATACAAACCAAATTGTGATTCCTAAAATTTACTTATTTTCATATAAATACAAATTGAAATAAATGTAAAAAACAATAATCATTTTCCTGTATGTCTTTGGTTTTCCAGATAATGTTAAATTCATTACATAAGTACGAGCCACGCATGCATATAGTGCGTGTTGGAGGCCCGAGGAGAATGATCACGAGCCACGCTTTCCCAGAGACGCAGTTCATTGCAGTAACGGCTTACCAAAACGAGGAGGTGGGCAATTTAATTATTTTTAAATCAAAAACACATTGAACACTTATATAATTTAAAACAACGTACACTAATGTTTCTTGTATGCGCACAAAATGTGTGCGTAAATTACGCATATGGCATTAGCAAACCTTTTGTGAATTTGAATTTTGGAAAACAACAATTGTTAATGTTCTTCATAATTGGATTTTAGGTGACTGCTCTTAAAATAAAGCACAACCCTTTTGCCAAGGCCTTCCTAGATGCAAAGGAGAGGTAAGAATACACATTTTAGACGTTTACAATTGTATGGATTTAAATGTGCATACAATTAGTTTCAACATTATGTAAAAAAACAACCTCATCAATCATTTCATTTCTTCAAGAAGTGATCACAAAGACATGCGAGAAGATGCCAATGAAAACCAGCAGTCAACTTACTCTCCATGTGAGTTTTGCATTCTTTTTATATAAATATGTAATTTCATGTCAGACTTTATTTTCAAGCTACATATTGCCACATGGGCATGGCTAATATATTTCATATTGTTTCTTCTCATCAGTAGGTGGTTGGTATATTCCAGGCACAAGCTCTCTCTGCCCTCCTGTGAGTCCTCACAGCCAGTTTGGGGGTCCCATCTCCCTCTCGCCATCCCACGGCTGTGAGCGCTACTCCACCCTGAGGAACCACCGCTCTGCCCCCTACAGCAGCCCCTATGCCCATCGAACCAACTCGCCCAGTGAGTGTTCTCTTCCACCTTTTACCATCCATCACACAACATCCAGGAACTACACCACTTCCTCCCCTGCTATTAACAAGAAACTCAAACAAATGTTGCTGACCGCGGGATGTTTTGCATTCCTCTGGCTTTTGTGTGAGTGGAGCCACAGAGCTGTAAATGGTTGGGCTTCAGACAAGGAATGTTTGGAGTGAATATTCACACCTTTCACTGTACTGATATCAGAGGGGCAGGAAATCCTGAATCATACTGAGAAAACAACAGGTTTAGTGGATTTTATTAACCGTATTTGTGATGCCTGTCTTTGTGTTTTAGTTGGTTACTCTGATAACTCGTCCGCCTGTCTGTCGATGCTCTCACCCCACGACAACTGGTCCGGTCTGCAGTTGCCAACACACTCCAGCATGATGCCCATGGCCCACAATTCCCCTTCCGGTACCAACTCAAGGTTTGTATAGTTCCTCTTTTTTTCTTTATTTTTTTTTGACACACAATAATACAACTCAGGTAGCCTACAGGTTAGACATCAGACAATACAATAGACATACAAATAGTGACCTCAATAATTATGGTGGCAAAAGAAAAGATCAAAAACCAAATAAACCCTGTTATTTGTTAGATGTTGGTGGAAAAAAGTATTATGTGAGTCCTGTAATCATATACATGTATTGTTCTAAGCTAAGTTGAATAAGAAATGTATTATGTAAAATATGGATATTTGTGAAATTCTTTCAATATTACATGCTCGTGTGAAAATAATTTGAAGCAAGAAAAAAACTCTGACACTACAAGAATATCATTACTTTTGTCTTTATTTGAATTTTCCATGTTGTCTCTCATCCATTCCATAGAAACAATGGCTTTACCTCATTTATCTAATACAATCTAACTCACTACTATATCTTACAATAAAAAAAAGGGCACCATTTTTTTACTTTTGCATGAGTATCACCTCTAAACCCTCCTTATAAGAGCTGAGTAACACGTTTTCTGTCCACGTCTCTGCAGTCAGTACACCAGCATGTGGTCTGTGAGTAACCCGCCCCTGACCCCCGTGTCCCAGAGTGAGGGGATGAACAACAGCCTGAGCTCGCAGTTCCTCCGAGGGTCCGGCAGCCACTACCCCGGCCTGTCTCACTCCGTCACAGCGCCCTCCTCTGGCTCTCCTATGTACGACAGCGGCCCAGCCACGGAGCTGCACGACACGGCTCAGTACGACACCTCTCCACACGGGAGGCTACCTTCAGCCTGGACTCCTGTCACACCCCCGTCCCTCTGATGGAGGTGCATGTGTCATCAAGTGATGTCTGCAGGAGGCTTGGCAGGCTGTAACTTTAAAGCAGCAAATAAGTATTTGTTCCCAAATCAATTGGCAAAAGACTGTTTTCAATTATGTGACACTACAATCAATCTATATGGAAAAAATGTCCACTTCTTAATTGGTACTATTGAGAGAGACTTCGAATTATTGAAGGAGCTCTTTAAAAATGTGCTTTGCTCTCTATAAATTACAGTGTATTTTTTGTTTTTAACATATGTTTACGTTATTTCCTTTTTTTTCCTTTTCATTTTGTAAATGTTTTTGTTTAGCATAGCATGAAACAACATATTCTTTTAATGTTTGTGGGCCAAAATCCCTTTATAATCTGCTTATATTAAGCATAACTCCATGATATTCACAGCAGAAGGCATGAAGATGACAATGTCGAAGGATTTTTAACATTGTTAATAGTGTAAATGATTAAAATAATTTTGTTTTACAATGTAAATAGATAACTTATGCTCTCACAATGACGCCATTTGAGATATTATGTTCCAGGTTATTTTAAAAATTAAATGAAAAATGGATCAATGTTAATATTCTGCAATGCAGACAATATACAACTTTCCAGATCATTAAAAAAACATCATTGCACAATTCACTACTTTTTATGTTGTTGTCTAAGTTGTCGTCATTCATCCACCTTGGACCACTCCTTTTTGTCTTGGGTGTGCGGTTGTGAGCCATACCATGTTATTTAATTCACAAAGAAATGGGACGCAACCAGATTTCATTTATTTAATTCTTACACAGTATCTGGCATGGGGATTATCTTCCATTGGGCATTTTTTTTAATATAATTTTAATAAATTAGTTAGTCAGGTTCAAGGACCTTCAGGGTTCCTTTAGATTAATGGAAAACGCAAGCAACGGGAGGGACAGGGAAATACAATTGGGTCAGGGGCTTTTACTTATCACATTACCAGTTCTTTATAAGATTTCTATAATTTCCAAATCAATGGGGGTTGTGTCCTAAGCAGCCGATATGTGGAATAATAAACTGGCCCACAAAAAGCACTAAAGGCCCACTCTTAAAGATTCTCTACAACTCGGACATTCAAAATGCTATCGCAAACTAATTTATTAAACGAGAAGATGATCCATATAAATTATAAACTATAAAATCCAATGAATCAATTTTCACAATATTTTGTCTAGAAGTGCTGTGAATAGCTTTCCGAAGATGAGAGGCATATTACTTTTAAGTTAGAATTTAATTAAATGGCTTTAAACGGTATCTAAAGAATCTTTTTGATTTAAAAATTCTCTTGCTAGCTTGTCTAAAGTGCTCCGAATAACGTTCCAAAGTTGGGCTGTTTTCTGTGAGACGCACAGGATTCTGCTTATTTCCGAAGCTAGTCAATCATGTTAAGGGAGCTTGTCTAGAGGTTAGAAATCAGCCAAGAATGTTGTCTGTTATTCAGCGGTCCAACTTCCAGACAAGCTATCATGACATGACTGATGACAGTGCGTTCCTCTGATTTTAAATCGTCATATGATATCAGTTTCTCTACTCTAGCTTAAGAAATAAGCTTGCTACATCCTTTTGAAGACAGTAAAGTCAACCGCACCGTCTGCACTCCTGTGGAGCCTGTAAAGAACATAACATAAATTATACTTATTAGCAAAATACCAATATATTTACTCTGGTTTAACCATTGTATTGTCTCCACAAACTTCACAAGGACATCACACAGGTATATTCATGTGCCTCTCTATAGTGTTGCTGGTGGTTGACCTTAGATGACCTCAGGCGGAGTTGATCAGATACAGTACATTTGTAGAGAACTAATTTATCTCTCCTGGTATACTTATATAATGTATCATATTGAACAGCTTGAGGTGGAGAAGGTCAAGTAGTGATACAGTTGGAAGGTGTATTTTGTTAGAAAGAAAATAGTCCCTACGTGAAACTGATCATAACATGGTTTTCGAATTATTTTGAGTAACTTTGTCATGATTTCTGAAAAGAGGCATTACTGTTGAGGTTTTCAAACTTATTTTCTGTGTTTTTTTCTTTATGGCAGATTTCTCCAACACTCAGAAATTAAGTATCTTGAATACATTAAACGTAACAATACTAATGTGAGCAGAGCATATGGTGTTTGATTAGAGTCGAGCTGAGAAAGCGTAAAGAAAAAAAGCATTACGGCTGAAGTCCATTCAGCCAAGAAGATCAAGGTCAGTGAAAAAAAGGACATCGTGACGTCCCTCCTTGTACAAGCAGCACCCCAGACTGACAGGAAGCAAGAGACATATAATCCCCTAAATGTAATACACAACTGCATCTCAATGTCAATGCACTGGTGAAAGGTCTGTGCAGTTAATGTGTGTGTATACTATTGCTTGTGTGTCTGTCTGTGTGGGGAGATATTAAGTGAGTATTATTATTATTACATATATTTATCAAATCAATCAACACAGACAAGTTAATACCAAAAAAGGGCGTGCAGATTCATGTCCGTAAATACTATCCATCTCGATGATTTATTATTATACAGTATGTTTTTAAAGGTAAGGGTGTAGGTGAATTGCTGTTATAACCTATTGCAAATGATTTGAAGGAAAAAGCATCATCATCATATTGTGGATTGATATTGAACCCTTTTGTCCTTGTGTTTTGCTGTAAGAGCCAATTACATATCCAATCAATTTTCACTCTATAAGAAATAATGCGTAAACCAGGAAAGGATAATGGGATATTTAAAAAATAAATAAATCTATAAAGCCATGAAGGCAGGGTATTTCTCTAAACCTAATAATCCTATTATGATCCCAGTGAAAAAAAGCTCTCTGTCAAAGCAGGGAGCATTGACGCAAGCATGTCTTGACGTCAGTCGCTGCAGTGAAAAAGGGATGGGAGGGGGGATATTCAGAGAAAGAGAGAGAGGGAGGGAGAGAGAGCAGTGTTTGCCTTCAGAAAATACCACGAAATACAAGCGTCACTGGCATGAATGCAACTGTAGCTCTTTGCAAGAAACCCGAGGATGTGCGCATATAGACGCACAAAAAGGGAAACAGCTTTTGAATTTCAAAACTGACATCCAAGTGACACATTTGTGGGTAGGTGCTGCACTGGAAATCTAAACCAGATGTAGTAAATGGAATATGATCCCCCGACCTGCGAGTATTCATAAATAAATCAGCATACAAGAGAATGTAGAGAGGAGGAGGAGAAAGGGAAGGGGGGGGGGGTGTTGCTCAACTGGTGTCATCCACCCATCTCCAGAAGGGCAAATGGATGTGTAAAAGTACAAGTCAGTGATCATCTGAGAAGCTTTGTGCAGTTTTATCCAAGTGGAAATCTCTTTAATGCACGCACAGTCCTTTGTTGCGTTAGAAAAAGAGAAGAGGTTTTTTTAATTACATTTCTTGCATTAAGAGCTGAGTCCACTGGAGGGCAAAACTATCAAGCAATTTGAAAAAGCCAGCCCGATGGCGTCATTGGCTCCTCTGGAGGCTACCATACCATGGCTCTGCTGGTATAGTTATTCACAGTTTATTCCCACATTTCTCTCTGGCTCCTGCACACTGATGTGACAGCAAACCTGTCCTTCCAATAACACAATGAGCATTTATTTGATATTCTCTAGGAGATGTTTTAGCAGGTTTTACGCAAGAAACGTCACAAACGTTCCACTTGTCGCTGGACTGACGGTGTTGTAATAAGAGGTGTCATACCGCGCTTATGTACAGTGCTTTCTATAATACGCAGGGAAGGGATCCTCTCCTCCGTCACAGATGTTGCCAGAGAGAATGATCTACCCGCAACTTAATGCGCAGCTCAAATGTTGCCACGCGCTCTGGCGTACTTTGGCGGACAGACCATGTTCGGATAAGCTTCGTTTACATTGGCCTATACTCTTCGAGATACCCAAGAGTTCCCGTTGTGTCGGCTGTGCGTCATCAGTGCCTGATTAGACTTGTAGTCTGACGTCGCCGAGCACCATTCCAGCAAAGCACGTCGAAACATCTAAATGGATGAAAAAATAAGAAGAAAGAAAGAAAACCACCACCTTAAGACACGGATCAACAAGTTGCCTCCAGTGCGTAACTTCCATCTGAGCAGGGTTCAAGCGTAATTGGCGACGCACGTGATCGACCAATCACCTTATCCGCAAATATTTCTCCTTTGTCAATAGAAATAGTAGACTGTCCGTGGAGACACTTGTGTCCGATCACGGCGTGAATCTGAGGGAGCTGACCGGCTCCATGCCTCGCTGCGTGTCCAGGTGCTCGGCTGGCCACCACATGGTAACTTTGCGCACACGGCACGCTGGAAAGAGGACACAGAGAAGGGATCTGAATGATTGAGACTGAGATTAATACGCATTTGTCTTCTCGCATCCCCCAGACTGTTGTATGTGTTGTTTATCCTGCCGGTTGAAGGTGTCTCACGTTACCAGCAGACATCGATTCAGCGGCGGATAGATCCATCACTCGAACAGGGAGCAGCAAATGTCGAAGAAACGGAAAAGTCCTGACGACCAGGACTTTGAGGGACCTTCAGCTGCACGCTGCGACCCAGGTAGGAGTTATGGTCAGTAGTTAAAGTGGGAAAGTTGCTACTAGAGTGCAGGCATGTGGTACTCTCAGGAGCTTTTTTATAAAAGGTGTTTCTACTGTGCATTTCGAAATTTGAACCAAATGTTACTTATTACAAAGTCAGAGGCACCAGGTGCTGTACTCACCCAATGAATCCACACAGTATTAAACATGTGCAGTGAAATATTGCCATGCAATCACCTCACAGTTAACACTAAAACAATCATTTTAATCCCTAGAAAAAGCTATTTTGTGTTGCTGTGGATTACTTTTATAATCTCTCATCAATCCCCAGTGTGTGACATCAGGTTTTGCTGCGAAGAGCAAGTGTGTCATCAGAGTTGTGCTGGCTTGGTGAACTCCAATTTGGTGGGTTGGGGGTGGTTACTTATTTAAGTAATGGGGGGTTATTTTGAGTCTTTTTGTGAAGGTGGGATTCATTTATTGTTATGCACTGCGTGAGTTATTTGGGATAATTACAACGGGATGTACCATCAAGGTGTACCATCAAGGTGTACCTGGCGTGCACCCAGAGGCCTGGCATGTTAATGGAACGTGTTATGTGCACAGAGATAGAAATAGAAAATAACAATAAGTAACTTCAAATTGTCATAGTCTACAGTCATGGATGGTTTAACAAACTCTGACATGTTAAAGGAGTACTTTGCCTATGCACAAATAACTATGTATGTCATCTATTCAGATCAGTTTACCTTGAATTCTTGAAAGAGATGTTGCATTTTTCTTGCATGCTCTTATGATGCAAATAATCCAAAATGTACAATTTATTTTATTCATGTTCACTGTGAAGTTCTACAAGAAAAAACAAGGTTTTCTTGAGTAATTTATATTCAAATGCTCTTTTTGTAATCCTTTAATACCAAGACATCCAGACTGAAAGACACTGTGTCTCTTTGTGGTTGTTTGACTGACTTTCTAACCAGAGATGTTAAGACACAAGATAGGGGGTTCACCAGAAGGGACAGGTGCCACCAATCGGTCCTAGCCACTGACTGGCTTTTATTGATTGATGTGGCACCTGCATTTAGTAGAAAAGTGTTATTTT